GCAACAAAAATGAGCTCTTATCGATTACTTAAGAACATCTTCCCCCTGAACTAATTGTAATTTTTTGTTTGTTTTTTTTTTTAAGTACCCCAATACAATCAACGATCATGCACTGCACTTAACGTCTTGAGACTTGTGGAGCTGAAGTACTGCAATGGCAATGGACAGGTCGGAAAATCTTACATTTCTTGAACCAAGATCCAGCCTTCAGAGCTGCTGCCCAAAGCCAACCCTGATACTGTTCTTCCCTGATATCTCTTCTTTCAAGAGTTTTGTTTTTCATGGTTCAGAAACTTAAAAACAGATAATTTGTTGACTAAAGCTTTCAATTAAAAAACCTTTTGCATAGATGACCTCTGGCTTGTTTCTCATTACTCTACCCTTCAATCATCCTTGAAACTTACATGGGAATATTTTTATTGTCTCACTTCTGCCCCATTTGAGCCCTTCAAATGCTCTTTTGATTGCCAGCTCTCAAGACAGGACACAGACAAAGAGCTGGGCAAGCCCAGGGTGTGTATGTTACAAACAAGGCATTCACAGTTAGGACCTTCCTTCCCCGTTTGGGGAAAGATGCCTCACACTAAGAATCTTGATTCAGGTGGCACAAAAGGCAGAAAGAAAGAAGGGTAAAGCGTTGAATTTGCCTTTTTTAGGGGAGGAGGAGTCTCTATGGAACTTACCATGTTGTTCTTATAAAGCCCTCCATTTTCCAGTGCATAGCAAAGACTGGTTACAGGGTATTGTGTTGAACACTGACATGGATGAAAATGTGCTCCAAAGATACATACACAGTATAAACACAACTGTTGATCCCTTGGGACAGTGCAAGATTCCCACTCATCTCCTCCCAAAGGCCTTTAGTTCAGACATGGACATACAAAAAAACCCCCAAAAAACAACAAAAAAAAAAACCCTGTCTTCCTTAATGCTGTAATGGTACCTACAAAATGAAAGTTTTCTTCCATTTTTGCTGCCAGGAATATGTCTCTTTCCTGATAGCAAATTCCAGATTCTCTCTATAAGATCCTCCCAGTGTTCAGTAGTATGAATTGGACAGAAACCAAGCTAGGAATAGAGTCATGTTTCTGCTGAGCTAATAAGAGTACTTGAAAAATGTCAGTCCCCATCTACTTCTACATTATAAAGCTACAGAATTACTCTTAACTTATAAAATTTCCAGAAAAATCTGACCCATTATTTGACACTAAAAACCACTAGTCATCCACTAAAAACCAGGTAAACAGGAGAACCCTGATCATGAAGTGAAAAGTAAAACTGCAGCATTTCAGTTCAAGTCTGATTAACAAACAGAAATTTAAACATGTAAAAGGAAGATTCAATCAAGTTATGCTGAGATCATATGATTACAATAAACTCTCACGGGGGACACACGGGGTTTTTCTCCAGGTACTTTTCATAAATATTTACTTTATCAGGGAGTCAGCAGGTAGTGGGAGAAAAGATAAAGAGTGAAGCAACACCTCTAAAAACCAACATAATTCTGCATGCTCCCATTTGCACTCAGGTGGGCATGCCGTGCTCTAGATAAAGGCAGTGTGACATAGCCTAGAAAATTGTGGCTCAAGGACAGAATGAATCACGTTCCATAGTTAAAAGAAAACCCTCAAGCTCCAGCTTCAAGAATGAAACCAGAAATAATTTCATCAGTTCTACCCTTGCCAGACAGCAAGGAGCAGAAAAAACACATAAAATGTAAAAATTAAGCAGGAATTTGAGGAAAGGGTGAAATCTGGAATGTTTCTTACCCTTGGGAGGCTGCTGCACAGTGGGACAAGAATTTACTGTAGAAACAGAATGCCTTGAGCAGAGCTTTGAAAATGACACAGAGACAAACCTGTACTGAAAGAAAACAGGGTCTTTTATGCAAAGCCCTGTACAGTAACTGCCCTTTTTCCTGGCTACTCTACTGCTGTCACTAGTTACATAAGCTGTTCTTAATGGCAAGTGCCTGAGCTGTACATTTGCCACACAAACTGCTCAAGCACGCAGAGGCTGAGGGAAGATGTGGAGGGTCAGGGTTCCAAGGGTGATGCATATCTGAAATGGCCAAGTTGGCTTGGATTGGTGGAAGTTAAGGACAAAACTGCTTTCCAACTTGTTGCTAGCGACATTGGAGGGAGGAGGATTGTACAGCTTGGTTTGTCTTGCCTTTCGTGAGGAGGGCTCAATTTATGGAATTTCCAGAGGCTAAAAGAGGACCTTCTTACTAAGCATAAATAATACACAAAATAAAACTTTGATGTGTAATTGGTATCTTGGACATACCCTGTCTCCATCTGGCCTCCACAAATCAGTGTGATTAGAAGATGTATAAATCTTCCCCCTTGGTAGTTTACCACTTTCATTCACTGTATTTGACACATCGAGTAAAGTATGAAGTGGATGTGAAACATGAAAAGCTAAGCGCTCCGCTCACAGTGCTGGCAGACCGCTGCACCTCCTCAGCACTCACAGAGCAAGGCACCAGGCAGGAGCACAAGGACACAGTGTGGCCCTGAGCAGCACAAGTGACAATTGGGCCTCCCCTTCCCAAACAAAGATCCCCTGCCTTTTCCAGGAACAGCTGCAATATTGGTCCTCGATAACGGATAGCAGAGGAAAAGAGTGTTCAGAGAAATAATTTCAGAGAGACTGAGTCCCCATTGTGCCAGTCTGGCACTGCAGAGGAAGCTTTAGTGTGCAAACCCACCCTGAACTGCAGCCAAGGGAACAATCAGCACATGGGGACTGGCAGAACTGCTGTCAAACACAAAGCACTTGGGGAGTTGGGAAGTGAGCTCCTCTGGGAGTGCTGCTTCTGGAACCTGGAAAAGGCACAGCAAAAAAGCAAATCCAAATTACCACAGGCTCCTGAGCCATGTCTCTGTATATCAAATTCAGAGAAAGATAAAAATATATTTCCTAAATAACAGGGGATATAAAATGCACCATGTCACTGCCCCTCCCTCACACATGTTCTGCTACCTCTACTAGAGGTCCTTTTCCCAAATCAGCCCTTGGTGCTACTCTCCTGAAGAGACTCTGTGAAGATTAAGGGCCATATCTGACAAGAAGAAAGCAGATCCTAAATGAGCTCAGAAAGTCAGGGCAGTAAAAGAACTCAGCAATTCCTATGATTTAGAACCAACCTTGTGATCTCTAGGGACCCATGTAACATTTTTAGGGATATTATGTATAAAAAGTAAGAGTACACATCAATTAGCAGCAGAGCTGGCCTGGCCTGCCATCCAAATGAGGTTCCCTGTAAGTATACCTATCATTTCCCACAAAAGGGAAGGAGGCTGAGATGCTGGAGTGTGTCCAGAGAAGGGCAACAAGGCTGGCATAGGGTCTGGAACACAAGCCCTGTGTGGAGGGAGGTGGGGGTGTTCAGCCTGGAGGAGGCTCAGGGGAGATCTTACCACTCCTTACAGGTTAAAAGGGTGCAAGAGGTGGGGTTGATCTCTACTCCCAGGTAACTTGCAGTAGGATAAGAGGACTCAGGGGAAGTGTAGGCTGGACAACAGGAAGAAATTCCTCACAGGAAGCGTGACTGGGCATTGGAATGGGCTGCCCAGGGAACTGGTGGAGTCACTGTCCCTGGAGGGGTCTAAGAAAAGATTGGATGAGGCACTCAGTGCCACGGTCTTGGTGACAAGGAGGTGTTAGGTCACAGGTTGGACTCGATGACCTCAAGGGTCTTTCCAACCTGGTTGATTCTTTGATTCTGTAAAACTTCACCAAATTTCAGAGGAGATGCTTAAAAACATGATCCTACTGCATTGGGACTGCTTCTGGTGCACGGTGTGCTGCATTAGCTTTTCAGCAGCAAATTCCTTCACCTGCCCTAAGCAGGAGAACACACCATACACGTGGCATTGCTGGAGGAGGCAATTTACCTTCTACCAAAGTCTCCTGTCAGCCTCCATGACACATTTGCCTAAACAATATAATTGAAAGGACCAATATTTTCTTTCCCTGTGACTATTTGCACTGTAGGAAGCCTTTTAACCACTGCCTCTCTCTAGCAATGCACTTCTCTTTCCCTGTATATTGTTTGCAACAAAAAGGGGGTTTTGTTTAACTTTAACAGGGCTACGTTGCAACCAAGGTGTTTTCAAAGAACACCTGCATCATTGCTACAACCAGCAAGAGGTTTTGGCTTGGCAAACCCTTTCCTACACCACCTCCAGGAGACAAGGTAGGATCATGGTTGAAAGTGGGGCAAAAGATTGTTGGTGAAAAGCCCTTGTTCCTACACAAGCAGGAGAAAAGGCTCCAGGAACCGAAGAGAACTTTCTCAGCAGGGCTGAGTCGCTCTAAAAGTTCCTTCAAAAGTTGCATTGTCCAGGAATAATCCTTTCCCCCATACCAAAGAAATGTGTAGAAGCTCTGAATTCCACTGGTTTTCCTAAATGCTGTTTTCTGGCTTTGTTTCTTTGATGCGCAGGGACCTGGGCCTTACCAATTGCCATGGAGAGAGATTCACTTCATTGTCTCTAGGAACAGACTCCAAAGCTTGAGCTCATTTGGAAAGTGCATCCAAGCCCTGTGCAGAGGAATTCCCTCCTACCTCGCTTACCCAGCTCCTGGTGAGCCTGCCACTGACAGCCTTTGTGTTCCAAAATAAACAAGAGCTCGCTGTATACGTTAAGAATGATGCAGTTCAGGTTTTAAGTGACTTTTCCTGGTACATTTCCAAAACTAAGTTGGAAAAATTTCCACTACAATGTTCTCTTATTTTCTCAGTCTAATCAGTTTTTCTTTTTCTTTCGGATCAAAGTTCTTATCAGGCTCAAACTTCTTAAAGCAAGATAACTCACACCTGAAAGTTAAGATAAATTAACTGCCTATTACTTTGCTATATCTTCTACATTAACCATTTAAAGTCAGGTGAACTAAAATCTGGTTTTATAGAGATCAGCATAACTAAGGTATTTTTATTTTAACATCTTACCAACACATTGCAATAGTTTATTTTAGAAATAAGCATTGTCATGCCATCTGGCCAATTGCAAACAGACAGATGCACTATTATTCTGATCAACGAAGAAATCAAGGTGCGAATGACAGACTGGAGTTGCACACACATGCTATTTAAGAATGTTTCATGAAGGTTAAACACAGGAGAAAATAAACATACTCTAACTAAGTGCAAGTTGGAAATTTGAAAGAGTCAAACTACAGTTAGGTTAAAAGTAAAGCAAAAAGCCTGAGCCTACTTTCTTCATCAAAAACTTCAGCAACTCACTCTGTCTGGAAAATACCACATCTTCACCTGCCCTCCTCCCTCAGGACCCCTTTCCTTGCTCTTTGAAAGGAGTTACTCCAAGAGACACTTTACCCACTTGGGAACGCCCCAGGGTTACTCCAAAGAAAAGGGTGCAGGAGACCATTCTCTTCGGGAACAGCCTGCTGGGGACTCTAAGGGTCACCGTGAAAACCAAAGCAAAACTGCACCCAAGAATTTTTTAGCACCTCCAAAGAAAAGCAACCGTAGGATTGCAGCACTTAAAGAATCGTTCCTGTCTGCCTTGCCTGGGGTTTCTGGAGAGACACTCCTCTCCTTTTCCAACCTGACACTGCATTTTCCTTGAGACGCCACACTGCATTTTCCTTCCAACCTGACACTGCATTTTCCTTGAGACGCCACACTGCATTTTCCTTGAGACGCCACAGGCGCAGCCCTCTTCCCTGATCCTGCTGGCAGGCACTGGGAATGTGTCCCTGTGAGCCCTTCACAGACGAGGATTCCTCCCTCACGCCCCAGGGAGCCGGGATGTGACCTGAGCAGAGTCTGTGGGGCCCATCTCGCACCCCCACGGTCACCGTGCAGCACAGAGAGTACCATTAAAATGCCAGCACACAGTCTAATAAATCTGTCTTAATTCCCTCATGTATTTTAAGACAAATTGGAGATTTTGAAAGAACCTGACTTCTGAGGGATTTTTTTTTTTTTAATGCAAAATTGATATTCTGATTGGACACACCACCAGCAGGCCTAACACCCCTCTTGTGAGTAAAGATTACCTCAAGAACTGTAAATTAACCCAGCTGCAATGACGTAAATGTGCCAACGCCGCTCTGCCGGATCCGCTGAGGCACCGCTGCCTCAGAGGGGCTTTCCCGCCCTTTTTCCGCCCTCCCGTGATCCTCTCCTCCCCCGCTGCCTCAGCGGGGCTTTCCCGCCATTTTCTGTTCCCCTCAGAGCCCGGCGCCGCCTCAGCCCCGCTCCCTCCGGCCCTCTCAGGCCGTGCCTCACCGCAGCAAAAAACAATGGTTTATTGCTTGAGCAAAGGGCGAGTTCCTCGCGGGCAGCGCAGGGGCTTTCTCGGTGTTTCTCGTGGGGCAGCAGTGAGGGAGGGAAAGGGAGGTCTGCCCCTCACAAATCCACACCGGCGCTGCTGCTGGTAAAGCAGCCTGTTGAAGGTAACGCCCGTTTGGTGTAGCTGTATGTATCAAAAATACCACTTCGGGCTTGCAGATTCAAAAAGTGAAATTGAGACAAGTATTCCATTTCATATTGCACGTGCAACAGCGTTTAGGCGTTATTTTTATGTATAAACCCCCACACCTAGCCATACTGCAGGATTGAAGCTGAGAAGTAGTTTCCATGCCCTAGAGCCGGGTTGTTCACAGAATGAAATTGAAAACTTGGCATTGGGATATGAAGACGGTCTCAAGGAGAAGCCATGGGAGGAACAACTGAGGGTATCTGGTGTGTTCAGCTGGAGGAGACCAAGGGGAGATGGGGTTCTTCAACATCCTCCCAAGGGGCGGTGGAGAAACAGCTCTCCTCTCTCTCTGCTGTCCATAATCAGCAACACAACCTGAGGGAATGGCTGGAGCTGGGTCAGGGGAGATTTAGGTTGGATATTAGTAAAAGGTTCTTCACCCAGAGGGTGCCTGGGAGCTGGAACAGGCTACCCCGAAAAGTTGTCACAGGAGCAAGCTGGATGGAGCTCAAGGAGTGTTGGGACGATGTTCTCAGGTGGGACTCCTGGGGAGTGTTGTTCTTGTGCAGGCCCAGGAGCTCGACCTGATGATTCTTGTGGGTCCTCTGTGATTCTGTGATTCTTGTAAAACAGTTTTCAGTGGCCATGTAGTACTTAGGGCATGTATTTTCATGGGTACTATGGTTACAAAGAACATAAAGTGCATTTTGAAAAGTGCAAAGGCTTTTATTTATTCAAACTAATTGAAAGCGGGGTTTTTTTGTTTGCTTAAAGCCAAGGCTATCTCTGATTGTAAGTTTGATGTAAAGTTTCAGAAGTAATTAGTACATGTCAGAAAGTTACTACAAAGCATATTTAATTTCTTACAAGAAATGGAGCTTTATCTGATAATTATTGGGTCAAAATCTGCAGAAGTACAACCCACATGTTTATCAAGTAGTTACAGCAGGAAACAATTTTCAATAAAATGCAGCAGGGATACAAATCACAAAATAATTTTATTGCAACATTCAGTCCTTCCACACCTAATTCTGAAAACATATAAAAGGTGGAAGGTTGACATTGTTCTTCCTACTTGCAGCAGCATTAAATGAACAATTCCACAATGCTGCTCTTTCTATGTTCCCCGCTTCATGAGATCTCCTTTTTCTTTCACCACCCCTTTGGAGGAAACAAATTAGTCATCTCAGACAGATGAAACTCTGGCACTCTCTATGTGGTAGAACTTACTCTAGTCTAGCAAAGATTTTTTGTAAAAATTTTAGGACATCATTGACTAGCCTGAAAATCGAAAAATGTTTAATTTTTAATTGAGTCTCCGCAAAAAATTAAAAACCAACAAGTCATCCTTGGGTTAAAGACTAGGTCCCCATCACTAATGGCCAATCACAGATTGTGATGGCACTTACCAGAGAGCAGCCCTTCCAAAGTAGTAGGGACTTTTCTAAAACTATGGGGACATCACTGCCTCCCTTCAAAGACTGAACATCTTCTTTCCCTTGGCTTTTCAGTCTCAGCAGTCAGATAACAACTGCCAGGTCTCTGTTGGTGGAGTTTTCCAAAATCTGACTCTCAGTAGTCTGACACGTGTCGTGGTTATTGAACAAAGGAGCGAGCAATTCTCATGGAAAACCATCTGGAACTACAACTCGGTGAGTGGCAGGGAGGAGCCTTGTTCACAAAGTGTGTGAGGAGACTGGCTCCTGGTAGAGCTGGCCCAGGGATGGGGATTGTTTCCTTATTCTGACTGTCTGGAGCCCATGATTTGGGGTAGCAACTCTTGCCATCCATTCCTTTTTTAACAAAGGGTTTTCTCCAATCCCAGTTGTGGAAAAACTGAATTGCAAGTGGTCAATAACTTTTTCCTTACAGGGTATCATTGCAACCAAATTGGTGCAACAGAACACCTGCTACATTTCTGTCATGAACAGAAATGAGATGCCCAGCTTTGAGAATCTGGCCCACCTGGCTTCACAGAACGGGGTAAGATTCAAAATCTGTTACTGTAGTTGATATGCATTTTTTGTCTGAGACACTGCTATTTTCCAAAACTTCTTAACCAATGGACATTTTATTGCTGATATTTTTGGTAATATTTTTCAGTTACATTTTTTGTGAACACTCAAAAACTACGATATCCTTTTTCAAAAGCCTTTAGGACAGGTTCGTCATATTGAGCCCAACTTCCAGATTAGATAATTTTTACAATTATTTAAATTATTGTACAATTGACTCTTTTTTTACTAACTTAGCTTCAATGAATCAGATTTTTCATTAAGTATGTTTCATAATTTCACATTCTCAAAAAAGGATGTTTCTTCAGACATTCCAAATGAGGAAGAAAAAATATTGCAGTATTAGAGAGAAAATCTTCAAGTAAGCTTTCAAACATTTTGAAGAAAATTATGCACCATGTTTCTTTAGTTCAGCCATCCACATTAGCACAAACGTTGAAAAAATTATCTCAGCATCGAGCATATTTGCTAAAAACAAGCTTCCCTTGAAATCTTACAGCTGAGTTGGTAAAAAACCCACACTTTAAACAGCAGGAAGAGCTATAGGGCAGAAGGGAATCAGGAGGAGACTTCTCCTGCCAGCTGACAGCCCGGGTGCCCCTGAGGGGCCAGGGCAGTGACTGAGCACATGCCTTCCAAGGAGCTCTGGCTCCACAGAGTGGCTGAACTCCTCTTCTCCTCTTCAGCACTTTCCTTGTGCTGCTGCTTCCCCTCAGGCTCCTGCACCTTGGCTCCCTTAGAACCATCTGCCTTTGGAGCTGCCTTCAAGGCTTGCCAGTGGTCCCACAGTCTCCCATGGACTGAAAGGTGTCCCTAGAGGCAGTTGGGACTCCAACACCCAGCCTTGAGTCATCCTTCCTGAGCTAGAAATAGGGCTAGCAGAAACCAGCTCCCAGCAATGAGCTTGCTGAATGCTGGTTTTTGTTCTTCAGAACCAGGTTGGCCTTGGAAGACCTACCAGGAAGATCACCTTTGTCACCAATGGACTGGTCAACAACCTCTACTCCTATGGAACAGAAATCACAGCTATGTGCAGTGGACTCACCACCTACATGGCTACTGAAGTTCACAGTGTGTGCAAGCATGGGAAATCTGAGTTTTCTGACCTGGCCTTTTTGTCTTCTGGGGCATGAGTAAGGCACAATTGCTGCTTTTCCACTTTGGGCCAGACAGAAACCAAGGGCTGCAGCAGTTGCACAAAGGGTTTGACACTTCTGCAGATCAAGACAGGAACAGGGTGGGGTGACAGCCCCCAGAAATTACCCAAACCAAACCCTTACAGCTACTCTCTAGGAAGCTTAATGGGGCTTAAAAATGAGCCCAGAAAGCTTTGGCTCACACTGTGCTTCCCTGTAATATCTAGTCAAGAACAATGGGCGTTCTAAGAAGTGATGTCCTTCAGGTCAGAGCTTGCTGAGTTGACCCAGGCAGCCACCAAAGCCTTGTGCTTCGCAACACTAAGCCAAGTGGCTTCCTCACCTGTAACTTTTTCCCTGGGGCAATGATCCCATTTCCCAGGACTAAAATGACCTACACATGGTAGGATTCTTCCAGAATGTCACAGCCCATGTGGCTGGTCCCATGATCTGGCACCAGCCTCACCATGCCCTACTCAGCCATTGGGACTCTCAGGACAAAGTGCAATAGAGACACAATTTCTGCACAGGAAATCCCCAAGGGTGTTCAGGAGTAGATCTCTGTGAGCATTCCAGGCTGAGCCACAGAGCCAGGGCTCACTGGGGACTCCAAGAGAATCTGTCCCTTGCACAGCTCAAACATTCCCAGAACAGCAACTATTCATACCTGGTGTGCTCTAAGCAACACCACCACCCTTCTGTAAAAGGTCAGCCAAGGTCTTAGGCATCAGCTCATGGTGTATTTTCTTTTCTTTTCCAGCTTTGCAAGGACCCCAGGTGAATCTGGGATCATGCATTACGCTTGAAGTCCTGAGAATTGTGGAGCTGAAGTACTGCAATGGCAATGGCAATGGCAACTGGAATGGCAATTTCCCGGTGAGAAAATTTTAGCCCTTAGCTTTTCATGTGTAAAATGGTGGAGGCTCAACAGCTGCTGCCCCAAGCCAGCCCTCATGCCCTTCTTGCCGAGCATCTCCTCTTTTGAGAAGTTCCTGCTTGAGGGAGCAGATGCTGAAAGAGAGGAATGGGTCAGCAGAGATTTCCATCCAAGACCTTTCAGAAGGGATTTACTCTGGCCAGTACTCTTGCAAACATCAATGTTAAAGCCACCAAATGAGATACAGCCATGATTCACTGAATACATGAAAAGAATTTTTAGGACCTCTGCCCACTGCCACAGGCTTCATTCAAGCTCCTTTGGAAAAAAACTGAGGCTTCTCGGGGACGACACTTTCTCCACTATAGCAATGATTTTTCAGATACTTGGGGGACATCACTGTCTTAGTTCAAAGATGAAATGTCTTTTTTCTCTTGGCTTTTCAGACTCAGCAGATTCCTGGGGACATCTTCAACAACAACACGCAAGGCGGCATCTTCAACCACACACAAGTCATCATTGGTGGCCAGTCCCAAATTGTGACCATCAACAGGCAATGGCATGTGGCCATCATTGAGCAAAAGACCTTCAGCGGGTCCTGGAAAACCATCTGGAACTACAACACGGTGAGTGGCAGGGGTGACTTGTTCACAAAATGCATGAGGAGACTGGCTGCAGGGACAACTGCCCCAGGGATGTGGCTTGTTTCCTTCTTCTGACCATGTTGAGACATGAAAGAATGAAGTGCTGTATAATATCATTTCACAGGGTGTGATTGCAACCAAAGTCACTCAACAGAACATCTGCTACATTTCCATCATGAACAGAAATGAGATGCCCAGCTTCAATAATCTGGCCCGCCTGGCAGAAGAGAGCAGGGTAAGGTTCCCAGCGAGTAGCAGAGTCCTGACCCTGGAGTTCATTGATCTGTTTCTTCATGGGCTTTTTCCTTCTGGACAGCATGAAGTTGACACAAGTGGCAGGATTTCTTTCTCTCAAAAGGAGGGGGGAATTTTTCCATAAGAATGCATTGCTGAAAGAGGAAAAGGGTTGCACATTCTGTTTCCGAGTTCTGATTTCTCTGCGAATGTTGAGCTCTGCAGCTTGGTGAAAACACTTTTTCTCAGAGCAGTTCTTTGAGAGCCCTAATTCTTTTAGCACGCCAGGATCTTAAAGTCCTTTGCAAGCCTTTCAATACCAATCTCTATTGGTCAGCTCAAAACTTTACATGGCAGCTTGGCAAGACTCCCTTTTCCTTAGGGGTGCGCAAGAGAATCTCCCTATTCCTCAGCTTCTCTCCTTGGGAATGTACCTAGCAGGAGCCAGATCACAGCACTGATCCTGATGAATGCTGGTTTTCGTTCTTTAGAACCAGTTTGGTCATGGAAGACCTACCAAGAAGATCACCTTTGTCGCCAATGGATTGGGCAGCAACCTCAGTTCTTATTGGTCAGATGTCTTCTCCATGTGCACTGGACTCACCACCTACATGGCTTATGAAGTTCATGGTGAGTACAAACAAAGGAATTCTGTCTCTGAATGACCTGGCATTTGATTCCCTTGGGGAATGATCAGTGGACAATTCCTGCTCTTCCACCTTGGGTCAGGCAAAAATCCAAGGCTTCATTAGTTGTACAAAGGGTTCAACATCTTTGCAGATCAAACTAGATCCTTTCAGCTCCTTTCCAGAAAGCTTAAGAGGGCTCAGTTTTGGCCCAGACTGTTTCAGCTGACGCTGAGATCCCATGTAATGCCTAGTCAATAAAAAGTGTCAGCCTAAGTGTCACCAGCTGTCCTTCAGGTCACAGCTGACTGACAATTTAAATGGCATCCAAAGTCTTAGGCATCCGTTCATGGGGTTTTGTTTCTTCCTTTCTTGCTTCCCAAGGAGTCCATGTCAATCTGGGATCATGCATTCCCCTCGATGTCCTGGGCGTTGTGGATCTGAAGTACTGCACTGGCAATGGCAATGGACAAGTGAGAAAACCTTACCCTTACCTTTCTTCAAACAAATTGGAGGGGGGGCTTCAGAGCTCTTCATCCCTGATGTCCTTCTTGCCTGGAATCTCCTCTTTTGTGAGGTTCCTTGTTGAGGATGCAGATGCTGAAACAGAGCAATGGTGAGGACAGGTTTCCATCCAGGACTTTGAGCATGGATTAACTGTGGCCAGTCCTAATGCACTCGTCAACTCCTAAAGGCTCCAGATGACAGCTGTCAGATGCAGAAATGATTCAGTGAATGCTGAAAAGAATTCTTACGGCCTTTGCCCACTGCCACTGCCTTCATTCTGGGTCCTTTGGAAAAGACTGAGTGCAGATCCAGCACTTCCTGGGGGCAGCACTTCTTCCACTGTAGCAGGGATTTTTCAGATGCTTTGGGGACATCACTGTCTCTGTTCAAAGAAGAAATGTCTTCTTTCCCTTGACTTTTCAGTCTCAGCAGATTCCCGGGGACATCTTCAACAACAACACGCAAGGCGGCATCTTCAACCACACACAAGTCATCATTGGTGGCCAGTCCCAAATTGTGACCATCAACAGGCAATGGCATGTGGCCATCATTGAGCAAAAGACCTTCAGCGGGTCCTGGAAAACCATCTGGAACTACAACACGGTGAGTGGCAGGGGTGACTTGTTCACAAAATGCATGAGGAGACTGGCTGCAGGCACAGCTGACCCATGGATGTGGCTTGTTTCCTTCTTCTGACCATGTTGAGACATGAAAGAATGAAGTGCTGTATAATATCATTTCACAGGGTGTGATTGCAACCAAAGTCACTCAACAGAACATCTGCTACATTTCCATCATGAACAGAAATGAGATGCCCAGCTTCAATAATCTGGCCCGCCTGGCAGAAGAGAGCAGGGTAAGGTTCCCAACAAGTAGCAGAGTCCTGACCCTGGAGTTCATTGATCTGTTTCTTCATGGGCTTTTTCCTTCTGGACAGCATGAAGTTGACACAAGTGGCAGGACTTCTTTCTCTCAACAGGAGTGAGGAATTTTCCATAAGAATGCATTGCTGAAAGAGGAAAAGGGTTGCACATTCCGTTTCCGAGTTCTGATTTCTCTGAGAATCTTGTGCTCTGCAGCTTGCTGTAAACATTTCCTCTGAGAAGCTCATTGAGGGCCTTAATTCTTTTGGCATGCCTGGACCTTGAAGTCCTTTGCAAGCCTTTCATTACCAATCTCTATTGGTCAGCTCAGAGCTTTGCATGGACACTTGTCCAGATTCACTTTTTTCCTTAGGGGTGTAAGAGAACTTCTCCCTATTCCTGCTAGGGAATGTGCCTAGCCACAAGCACATCCCAGTACTGATCTTGCTGAATGTTGGTATTTGATCTATAGAACCAGTTTGGTCATGGAAGACCTACCAAGAAGATCACCTTTGTTGCCAATGGATTGGTCAGCAACCTCAGGTCTTATGGGTCAGATGTCTTCTCTATGTGCAGTGGACTCACCACCTACATGGCTTATGAAGTTCATGGTGAGTGCAAACAAAGGAATTCTGTCTCTAAATGACCTGGCTTTTGTTTCCCTTGGGGAATGACCAATGGACAATTGCTGCTCTTCCACCTTGAGTCCGGAAGAAACCCAGGGGCTTCAGCAGTTGTACAAAGGGTTCAACATCTTTGCAGATCAAACTAGATCCTTCCAGCTCCTTTCCAGAAAGCTTACAGGGGCTCAGATTTGGCCCAGACTGTTTCAGCTGACACTGAGATCCCATGTAATGCCCAGTCAATAAAAAGTGTCAGCCTAACTATCTCCAACTGTCCTCCAGGTCAGAGCTGACTGACCATTTGAATTGCAGCCAGTGTTTTAGGCATCAGCTCATGGGGTTTTTTTTCTTCCTTTCTTGCTTCCCAAGGAGTCCATGTCAATCTGGGATCATGCATTACCCTCGATGTCCTGGGCGTTGTGGATCTGAAGTACTGCACTGGCAATGGCAATGGACAAGTGAGAAAACTTTACCTTTACCTTTCTTCAACCAAACTGGGGGGGCAGTGGGTGTAGAACCTGAGCTACTGCCCAGAACCAGCAGTGGACTCACCACCTACATGGCTTATGAAGTTCATGGTGAGTGCAAGCAAAGGAATTCTAAGAGACCTGGCATTTGTTTCCCTTGGGGAATGATCAGTCTACACTTGTACTCTTCCACCTTGAGTCAGGCAGAAAACAACGGCTTCATTAGTTGCACAAGGAGTTTAAGATCTTTGCAGATCAGGACTGGAACAGGGTGGTGGCACATCCACTATAAATGACCCAAAGCAAACCCTTACAGCTCCTTTTTGGGAACATAAAGGAGGCTTAAATTAGGGCCCAGAGTGTCTCAGCTCACACTTGCCACCCGTTAATGCCCAGTCAATAAAAAGTGTCTCCCTAAGATCAGCTGTATTTCATGTCAGAGCTGACTGACCATTTGAATGGCAACAAAGGTCTTAAGCATCAGCTCATGGGGTTTTGTTTGTTCCTTTCTTGCTTCCCAAGGAGTCCAAGTCAATCTGGGATCATGCATTACCCTCGATGTCCTGAGAGTCGTGGATCTGAAGTACTGCACTGGCAATGGCAATGGACAAGTGAGAAAACCTTACCTTTACCTTTCTTCAAACGGGGGGGGGAATCTGAGCTGCTGCCCAAAGCCAACCCCGATGCCCTTCATGCCTGGCACCTTCTCATTGTGAGGTTCCTTCTTGAGGGTGCAGATGCTGAAACAGAGCAATGGGTGAAGACAGGTATCCATCCAGGACTTTGAGCATGGATTAACTGTGGCCTGTCCTCCTTACAGCCTTTGCCCACTGCCACAGCCTTGGTTCTGCGTCCTTTGGAATAGACAGAGAACAGGGCTGGCATTTCTCGGGAAGCAGCACTTCTTCCATTGTGACAGGGATTTTTCAGAAGCTTTGGGGACATCACTGGTTCCCTTCAAAGATGAAATGTCTTTTTTCCCTTGGCTTTTCAGTCTCAGCAGATTCCTGGTGGTGATGGCAACACACAAGTCATCATTGGGGGCCAGTCCCAAATTGTGACCATCAACAGGCAATGGCGTGTGGCCATCATTGAGAAAAAAGCTGGCATTGGGTCCTGGAAAACCATCTGGAACTACAACACGGTGAGTGGCAGTGAAGGACTCTTGTTCACAATGCGTATGAGGACACTGGCTCCTGGTAGAGCTGGCCTAGGGATGGGGTTTGTTTCCTTCTTCTGACAATGTTGAGTGCGCAGCTTGGGGTAGGAACACTCAGAATTTGATTCTGTTTTAACAAAGGGTTTTCTCCAAATCCAATGGTAGAAAGACTAAAGTGTGTGTTCTCAATACCTTTGTTTCCCAGGGTGTCATTGCAACCAAAGTCACTCAACAGAACGCCTGCTACATTTCCATCATGAACAAAAATGAGATGCCCAGCTTCAATAATCTGGCTCACCTGGCACAAGAGAGCAAGGTAAGGTTCCCAAGTTCTGGCAGATTCCTGACCCTGGAGTTCATTGGCCAGATTCCTTCATGTGCTTTTTCCTTCTGGACAGGAGAATGTTGTCACAACAGGCAGGATTATCTTTCTTTCAACATAGTGGAGCTTGGGAATTTTTCCTAGGAATGCTTTGCTGAAATATGAAAGGGGGATGCACCATTCTCATCTCCACTTTCTCTGAGGATGTTGAGCTCTGCGGCTTGCTTGGCAAAACATTTCTCTGAGGAGCCCATAAAGGTTGTTGATTCTCTTGGCATGCCAAGATCTCAAAGTCCTACACTGACTATTCAGTCCCAAACTGCATTGGCCGGCTCTGAACCTGGCATTGCAGCTGCTCTTGCCCAGACTCCCTTTTCCTTTGGAGTGCGGGAAAGCATCTCTTTATTCCACAGCCTTTCCCCTAAGGAATGCATCTAGCAGCAACCAGATCCCTGTGCTGATTTTGCTGAATGCTGATATTTTTAATTTAGAACCAGTTTGGTCATGGAAGACCTACCAAGAAGATCACCTTTGTCGCCAATGGATTGGTCAGCAACCTCAGGTCTTATGGGTCAGATGTCTTCTCTATGTGCAGTGGACTCACCACCTACATGGCTTATGAAGTTCACGGTGAGTGCAAACAAATTCTGTCTCTGAATGACCTGGCATTTGATTCTCTTGGGGAATGACCAATGGACAATTGCTGCCCTTCCACATTGAGTCAGGAAGAAACCCAGGGGCTTTAGCAGTTGTATGAAGGGTTCAACATGTTTGCAGATCAGGACTGGAACAGGGTGGTGGCACATCCACTCTAAATGACTCAGAGCAAACCCTTACAGCTCCTTCCTGAGAAACTAAAGGAGGATTAACTTAGGGCCCAGATTGTTTCAGCTGACACTGGCCTCCCGTTAATGCCCAGTCAATAAAATGTGTCCCGCTAAGAACAGCTGTCCTCCAGGTCAGAGCTGACTGACCATTTGAATGGCAGCCAAGGTCTTAAGCATCAGCTCATGGGGTTTTGTTTCTTCCTTTCTTGCTTCCCAAGGAGTCCAAGTCAATCTGGGATCATGCATTACCCTCGATGTCCTGAGAGTCGTGGATCTGAAGTACTGCACTGGCAATGGCAATGGACAAGTGAGAAAACCTTACCCTTACCTGTCTTGACCCTCATTTGGGGGGACGGTTTGTGAGCTGCTGCCCAAAGCCAACCCCGATGCCCTTCATGCCTGGCACCTTCTCATTGTGAGGTTCCTTCTTGAGGGTGCAGATGCTGAAACAGAGCAATGGGTGAGGACAGGTGTCTGTGTGGGATTTTGAGCATGGATTGACTGGCCAGTCCTCCTTACAGCCTTTGCCCACTGCCACAGCCTTGGTTCTGGGTCCTTTGGAATAGACAGAGAGCAGGGAATGGCATTGCCCGGGAAGCAGCACTTCTTCCATTGTGGCAGGGGTTTTTCAGAAGCTTTGGGGACATCATTGGTTCCCTTCAAAGATGAAATGTCTTCTTTCCCTTGGCTTTTCAGTCCCAGCAGATTCCTGGTGGTGATGGCAACACACAAGTCATCATTGGGGGCCAGTCCCAAATTGTGACCATCAACAGGCAATGGCGTGTGGCTATCATTGAGAAAAAGGCTGGCATTGGATCCTGGAAAACCATCTGGAACTACAACACGGTGAGTGGCAGTGAAGGACTCTTGTTCACAATGCGTATGAGGACACTGGCTCCTGGTAGAGCTGGCCTAGGGATGGGGTTTGTTTCCTTCTTCTGACAATGTTGAGTGCACAGCTTGGGGTAAGAACACTCAGAATTTGATTCTGTTTTAACAAAGGGTTTTCTCCAAATCCAATGGTAGAAAGACTAAAGTGTGTGTTCTCAATACATTGGTTTCACAGGGTGTCATTGCAACCAAAGTCACTCAACAGAACGCCTGCTACATTTCCATCATGAACAAAAATGAGATGCCCAGCTTCAATAATCTGGCTCACCTGGCACAAGAGAGCAAGGTAAGATTCCCAAGTTCTGGCAGATTCATTACCCTGGAGTTCATTGGCCCGATTTCTTCATGTGCTTTTTCCTTCTGGACAGGAGAATGTTGTCAAAAGTGGCAGGATTTTCTTTATCTCAACACTAGTGGATCTTGGGAATTTTTCCTAGGATTGCTTTCCTGAAAGAAAAAAGGGGGCTTCAACATTCTTTCTTGCCCAGACTCCCTTTTCCTTTGGGTTCTAAGAGAGCATCTCCCTATTCCACAGACTTTCCCCTAAGGAATGTATCTAGCAGCAACCAGATCCCTGTACTGATCTTGCTGAATGCTGATATTTGTTCTTTAGAACCAGTTTCTGGAACTACAACACGGTGAGTGGCAGGGATGGGACTTCTTCAAAATGCATCCATGGAGTCTGGCTGCTCATATAGCTGGCCCAGGGACGGTGATTGTTTCTTCATTTTGGCCATGTTGAGTGCACAATTTCAGGTATGAATATTTTGCACTCATTCTGGTTTTCAGAAAAAGTCTTCACAATCCCAAGGGTTGAAAGACTGAAATGTGCGTGCTAAAAACTTTTATTTCACAGGGTGTCATTGCAACCAAAGTCACTCAACAGAACGCCTGCTACATTTCCATCATGAACAAAAGCGAGATGCCCCGCTTTGATAACCTGGCTCACCTGGCTGAGCAGAGCAGGGTAAGATTCCAGGGGAATAGCAGATTTATTGCCCTGGAGTTCATTGATCCATTTCTCCATGTGCTTTTTCCTTCTGGACTCGATTATGTTGTTCACAAGTGATAGGATTTTCTTTGTCTCAACACTACTGAGGCTTGGGAATTTTTCCTAGGAATTCTTCGCTGAAATATGAAAGGGGGATGCACCATTCTCATTTCCAATTTCTCTGAGGATGTTGAGCTCTACAGTTTGCTTGGCAAAGCCTTTCTCTGAGGAGCCCACCAAGGGTCTTGATTCTCTTGGCATGCCAAGATCTCAAAGTCTTACACAGACTATTCAGTCCAAAACTGCATTGGCCGGCTCTGAACCTGGCATTGCAGCTGCTCTTGCCCAGACTCCCTTTTCCTTTGGGTTTTAAGAGAGCATCTCCCTGTTCCACAGCCTTTCACCTAGGGAATATATCTAGCAGGAAGCATATCTTACTCATTGCTGGTATTTGTTCTTTAGAACCAGTTTGGTCATGGAAGACCAGCCAAGAAGATCACCTTTGTCGCCAATGGATTGGTCAGCAACCTCAGATCTTATGGGTCAGATGTCTTCTCCATGTGCAGTGGACTCACCACCTACATGGCTTATGAAGTTCATGGTGAGTGCAAACAAAGGAATTCTGTCTCTGAGTGACCTGCTAGTGGATCTTGGGAATTTTTCCTAGGAATGCTTTGCTGAAATGTGAAAGGGGGCTGCAACATTCTCATTTCCACTTTCTCTGAGGATGTTGATCTCTGCAGCTTGCTTGGCGCAGCCTTTCTCTGAGGAGCTCATCAAGGTTGTTGATTCTCTTGGCATGCCAAGATCTCAAAGTCCTACACTGACTATTCAGTCCCAAACTGCATTGGCCGGCTCTGAACCTGGCATTGCAGCTGCTCTTGCCCAGACTCCCTTTTCCTTTGGGGTGTGAGAGAGTGTCTCCCTATTCCACAGCCTTTCCCCTAGGGAATGTGCCTAGCAGGAAGCAGCTCCTGACAATTGTCTTGCTGACTCTGTAATTTCTTGTTTAGAATCAGATTGGTTTTGGAAGTTCTACCAAGAAGATCACCTTTGTTGCCAGTGCATTGGTGAACAACCTCAGGTCTTATGGGTCAGATGTCTTCTCCATGTGCAGTGGACTCACCACCTACATGGCTTATGAAGTTCATGGTGAGTGCAAGCAAAGGAATTGTGTTTCTAAGTGATCTGCATTTTTCTCTCCTGATGAATTACCAATTGCTGCATTTCCACCTCAAGTCAGGCAGAAACCAAGGCCTCAGCAATTGCAGAAATAGAAACAGAGTAATGGGTCAGCAGAGGTTTCTGTTCAGGACCTTGAGTGTGGATTTACTCTGGCCAGTACTCCAGCATGCATCGACCTCTAATGGCACCAGATGGCAGCTGTCAGATGCAGGAAGGATTCACTGAATTCCTGGAAAGGATTTTTACAGCCTTTGCCCAACACCACAGCCTTGTTTCTGGGTCCTTTGAAAAGAATGAGGGCAGTGGCAGCACTCCCCAGCAGCCAGCACTTCTTCCATTGTAGCAGGGATTTTTCAGAAAATTTGGGGACATCACTGTCTTTCTTCAAATGCTAAATGTCTGCTTTCTCTTGGCTTTTCAGTCTCAGCAGACAGGTAACAACTGCCATTTCTCTGGTGCCTGTGTTTTCCAAAACATGACCCTCAGCAGTCAAACACGTGAGGTGATTATTGAGCAGAGGAGTGAGCAGTTCTCCTGGAAAACCATCTGGAACTACAACTCGGTGAGTGCCAGGGAGGGGGCTCCTTCTAAAGCCCTACTGGCAGACTGGCCCTTGGTACAGCCCAGGGACAGGGAATGTTTCTGTATTCTCACCATCCAGAGTCCAAGATTAGGGGTAGAACCTCTCAGCATTTGTTACTCTTGTTAGTCTGAGTCTATCCCATCTTTTTGGGTGGAAAACCAAGCTGCAAGTGCTCAATAAGTTTTTGGGTTTTTTTTACAGGGCATCATTGCAACCAAAGTGGTGCAAGAGAGAACGTGCTACATTTCCACCATGAACAGAAATGAGATGCCCACCTTTGATGCTCTCATCAGATATGCTTCAGAGAACAAGGCAAGGTTCAAAATTAGCAGCTGTTTGGAATATTGTACTGTATTTGAAATTGCTTTTTTTGCCTGAAACACTGCTGTTTTCAAAATCCTCTTAACCAACTGGTAAATTAAAAGCCATTTTAATGGCTATTTTCATGGATATTTTCAGTGATATTTTTCAGGTGCATTGTTTGAAGGCTTTCAGAAATTACAATATGCTCTTTTGGATGCCTTTTAGTGCAGGTTCATTTTGAGTCCAAGTCCCAAATTAGTTAGATTATTTTTACAATTATTTAAATCAGTATTTCAATTGACTTTTTATATTACCTTAGTAACCAAGACTTTAGATTCTTTGCTGAGTATGTTTCAGAAAGTCTCATTCTCAAAGTCTAGAAAAATATGTTTTCCTCAGAATATCTAATTGAGGAAGAAAAAATATTTCAATTTTGTAGAAAAAATATTTTAATAAGCTTTCAAACTTTCTGAAGAGGACTATACACCATGTTTCTTTAGTTCAGCCATCCACATTAGCACAGGCATACAAATGATCTCAGCATTCAGCATATTCACCTTTGCTAAACACAAGCTTCCCTTGAAATCTTACAGCTGAGTTGGTAAAAAACCCACACTTTAAACAGCAGGAAGAGCTATAGGGCAGAAGGGAATCAGGAGGAGACTTCTCCTGCCAGCTGACAGCCCGGGTGCCCCTGAGGGGCCAGGGCAGTGACTGAGCACATGCCTTGCAAGGAGCTCTGGCTCCACGGAGTGGCTGAACTCCTCTTCTCCTCTTCAGCACTTTCCTTGTGCTGCCACTTCCCCTCAGGCTCCTGCACCTTGGCTCCCTTAGAACCATCTGCCTTTGGAGCTGCCTTCAAGGCTTGCCAGTGGTCCCACAGTTTCCCAAGGACTGAAAGGTGTCCCTAGAGGCAGTTGGGACTCCAACACCCAGCCTTGAGTCATCCTTCCTGAGCTAGAAATAGGGCTAGCAGAAACCAGCTGCTGGCACTGAGCTTGCTGAATGCTGGTTTTTGTTCTTCAGAACCAGGTTGGCCTTGGAAGACCAACCAAGAAGATCACCTTTGTCACCAATGGATTGGTCAACAACCTCATGTCTTATGGAGCTGCCTTTAGCACCAACATCCCTCAGTTTCTGGCATACTCAAATCAGCCCTTAGTCCATAATCAGGTGCACATTGGTCCAAAGCATCACTGCAAGTTTACTGGGAATCTCTGCTCTGCTTCTGATGATCATTGTTTTCCATTTAAAAGTGACTCTTCAATACACTGAGCTTACCATGAGCACCTTTCTCTCAGCTCCCTCTATGCCATGAATTCAATCAGGCAGGTATCAAAGCCTCCTCTTATCAGAGCACTTCCCCAGGAAACTCGTCATGCTTCTGTGAACACAGGGCACCTGCCAATAAGGTAAACCCATTTTCAGATTTAACTTTGGGATATTATGTATAAAAAGTAAGAGTACACATCAATTAGCAGCAGAGCTGGCCTGGCTTGCCATCCAAATGAAGTTCCCTGTAAGTATATCTATCACTTTCTCATAAAACTCTTAAGGCTGGGCAGCTTTTAAGTGGTTTTGAGCTTTTCTTGGCACTGAGAGAACTCTTAGTGATTTCTGACAAAGTGAAAATGCCAAAGGGGTGGGGACTGCAGGGGAGAAATCTCCCTTTTGGCAGGGATGGAACTCCACATGCTGAAACATGAAAGAGAGAAGGGCTCTGCTCCAGGGGCGACACACACTCGTGACACGTCCACAGGACAATATTCTCTCTCTCCTTCAGCACTCAGAGGCAAATCAACAGTCTCAGCAAGTCACATAAAGTTAGAGCTTGGGAGAACCATGAGGCATGAGAGACCCCATGTGCACTCAGATCCTCCTCATCAAAATCCTTTAAAATCAAAGTTTGGACCAATTCAACATTCAAGGGAATGTCTCCATGATAATAATTGTCCACAACAGTTAACACAAATGAATTTTTCATCATAACAAATACTTCTCCTGCATACTTAAATCCTCTTCAGCTGATCCCACTGCAGCATGGCATACACAGAGCCCAGGGGTGCAAAGGGTGAGGGTGCAAAGGGTTTAAGAGCATTTAAACACTGACTCATTTACAAGGAGATTCAATAGTGTTGACTACAATTACAACAAAGACTGAGATATAGATTCAAGGCAGCAGCATTCATACCCTAATCGCTCCTGGGCACACACACAGGCCCAGAGCTGTTTACATCTCTATCTATGTGTGCAGAAGGACCTGTTAAAAATTCCCCTGGAGTTCACTGAAAGGGGTCAAATGCCTTTGCATTTCTCACTGGGTGAGGGTTGAGTCTCAAGGAGTGGGGAATACCAGCCCAGTCTTCAAGGAATCAAATTTTGACTGCAAACCTGAGGCTTTGCAAGCTCCAGGAGACATCCCACTCCACAGGAGAAGCTTGAGGAGCCCACTGCAGTCCAGGGCAGCTCAAAGACCCCACTTAGCACCGCTGTTTGTGCAGTCAGGATGAGATGATTGTCCTTAATTCCAGGAGATTTCCACCCTGGCCTGTCCCGAGTTGGTAACAATGGTCCTGTTCCACTCAGGCTGTGGCACAGGTAGATAATGTTCCAAGGCTGTCAGGGGTGAGTGATTATCCCTTGTTCCCTGCCTGGGTCAGGGAACCAATATTCCTGATATGAGCAGTGTCACTCCCACGTTTCCCTCTGAAGTTCCCAGGTGGGGTAAAGCCTGAATGTAAAGCCTGACACAAGAGCACTGATGGCTCTTGTGGCCTTCCCAGCCTCCCCTCTGAGGCCACAAACCATCTCCCCTTTATTCTGATCTCCAAGAGCAATAATTCCCCAAAACATGGCTACTGCAGCCAATGCTTTATTGAGAGAAACACTGCTGGGAATCCACAAAGCTAAATCCTTACCTCCTGTAATCTATCCCAAAAATTGGAACATCAAGAAAAGCTCCAATGAAAGTTCACACTGCTCTGGCACTGGGGTTATGCTTGAGCAGGAGAAACATCATACAGGTGGCATTGCTGAAGGAGGCAATAAAACCTTTTTTTTTTGCCTACCAACAGATTCCTACCTCATAATCATCAGACTCCAGCAGATCAAAACTTCCAAAAGTACAATCCCCACATTTATCAAGCAGCTACACGAGGAAATAATTATCAGGGACATGCAGCAGGGAAACAAACGACAAAATAATTTTATTGCAGCATTCAGCCCTTCCACACCTAATTCTGAAAACAAATAAAAGGTGGGAGGCTCACATCATTTATTCTGCCTTCAGCAGCATCAGCTCTGCAGTCAGGATGCATCTACCTGTAAGTATGCATGCTTTTCTTCCTTTTAAACTGAAACTTTGACTCAGACCCATTCCTTTGTCTCTCTGAAGGGCTTCTGCCTCTCTGCAGCACTAAGGCTTTCTCTGGGGACACTGTGCTCCTCCAGAAGGAGCAGCTCAGCCCCTGTTCCCCAGAGGAGCTGAGCAGGGAAGGCTTTCTTCACGCCTTGGCTGTACATTATTCAGAAAGCAGGAAGCCTCATCCATGCCCATTATTGCCAACGCTTTTGCACCACTGCAGCACTGCACCAGTGCAGCAAGCCCTTCCTGCAATGCCAGAGCAGAAGAAATGGAAAAGCTTTCTCTCTTTACTCTTGTAGAATGCCTGTGTGTGCCTGCACAGCTCTGAGAAACAACTTGAGGTTCAGCTCTTGAGAGAGCAAGTGTGAAATGTGTCTACTGTGAGCACCCTGGGGTACAGCAAGGGTGCCTCCCTTTGGGGGCACGGATGCAATCCCAGGCTGAAAGCACAAAAGGGATCCAAGGGGGACCCTTGAACATCAGATTAGGAAAAGGGAAGGAGGAGTGTCATGACCAGATTTGTCAGCCAGAGTTGCAGTTACATTTTGTATTTGATTTTCATTTCAGATTTGGACTGCAGTCCTTCTAGGACTCGTCCTGACCCCAGCCCTTGCTGATCATGTGAGTATAAATGAACAATTCCACAATGCTGCTCTTTCTGTGTACCCTGCTTCAGAGAAATCTTTGAATCTTTCATTTTTCTAAAGCCTTGGGGAGAAAATCACTGGAAAGCCTAAGTGTTCTTTCATTTCTTTTTCTAGCATCAACAGACTGAAGTAAGCAAGAAAATCTCCATTAGTGGAGGCTACCAAATCATGACCATCAATAGGAAATGGCTGGTGGCAAGTATTGAGCAAAAGACCAACCATGAGTACTGGAAAACCATCTGGAACTATGACACAGTGAGTGCAGTCTCTTGTTCAGAGAGCAGCTCATACATCCAGTAAAAACTGTTATTTACTTATAAAAATATGTTACAAATTCCAGTATTGATGATTAAATTCCATGTGGTCAATAACTTCATTTTCCAGGGTTTTATGGCAACCAAAGTGCTGCCAGAGAGAGCTTGCTACATTTCCATCATGAACAGAACAGAGATGCCCAGCTTTGATGCACTTCCCCAGCTGGCTGCAGACATCAGGGTAAGATTGAAAAGGAGCAGCTACTTGGAAAGCTGTACTTAGTGCAAAGTGAGACCTTGCTGTTTTCCAAACCAACAGGTGCTTTAAAGACCAGGTTCATCACACCATTAATTAGATATTTTTGTCAATTTCAATTATATTTTACAACAATGTAACTTTCAGCTTTTGAAAATTGGAATACCCTTGTTCAGATGCTTCCAGTGGAGGGTTTACATGTTTGGCCAGTTAGATTATTCTTAAAATGTTTATAACAACTAAAACTAGGAGTTGAACAGAGCAGGGCACTGATCTTGCTGAATGCTGGTGTTTGGTGTTTAGAACCAGAACCGTCCAAGACCCCCTGCAAAGGAGATCACATTCACCCTCGTCAGGAGAACCATCCGTGACCTCGAATCATATGGGCCAGACATCTTCTCCATGTGCAGAGGGCTCTCAACTTATGTGGGTTATGAAGTTCATGGTGAGTGCAAACCGAGGAATTCTGTCTCTAAATGACCTGGCAGTTGTTTCCTTGGGGAATGAATAATGCACAATTGCTGCTCTTCCACCTCGAAACCCACGGGAACCAAGGGCTGCAGCAGCTGCACAATGAATTTGACATCTTTGCAGATCAGGACTGGCACAGGGTGGGGTCACAGCCCCATAAATGACCCAAACCAAACCCTTACAACTTAATGGGGCTTAATTTTGGGCTCAGAGTGTTTTGGCCACACTGAGCTCCCCTGAAATGCCCAGTCAATAAAAAAGGTGTTTCTAAGCACCTCTGTCCTTCAGCTCAGAGCTGACTGATGACTTAACCCAGAGCACTTAACAGCATCTTAGTCTGTCTGGTGGTAATTGTTTTTCTTTCCTTGTTTTTGAAGAGCCCCAATTCAATCTGGGATCGTGCCTCAAGCTCGATGTCCTTCAATATCTGGCCCTCACCTACTGCCACAACGAAAACTTTGTGTAAATCCTTTCCTGAGCCTTCCTGAGCCTCGTGGGATGTTCCAGCAGCAGCCTCGTAGCTGCTGCCCAAACCCAACCCTGCTGGAGTTATTCCCTGGCATCTCTTCTTTCAAGAGGTTCCTTCCTGAAGATTGAGAACAGATCAGTTGGTGAGCAGAGCTTTCAATTAAATTCCTTCATCATGGAATAACTCCAGCCTGTTTGTCATTACTCTACACTTTTTCATCTAAAAACACCTCCACGAAAATATTTTGCCCCACTTGAGCTCTTTTACTGCTCTTTTCACCCCAGCACAGCCAGAGAGCTGGGCAAGGCACAAACAAGGCATTCACAGGCAGGACCTTCCTTCCCTGCCTGGGGAAAGATGCTTCACATTAAAAATCTAGGGGGCACAAAAGGCAGATAGAAAGAAGTGAAAAACAATGAATTTATCTTTTTTTAGAGGAAGGGAAGTCTCCTTTGTGGGATTTACAGAGTTGTTTTGTCCCTAACATAAAGCAAGGCTGGGATTCTTGTTGCTCAAATCTTTGAAAAATTACAGCAGTCCAGGGAAGAAAAAAACCCTCTTGGCCACTGAGTGTCAGCCTCGAGTTGCACAGCTGAGATGGAGAAGGCCCTCGATCCCACCCAGAGGAGCCTGCAATGCCACAGCACCAGGGCAGTGCAGTGCTGCCAGTTCCAGCTCAGCACTGGAGACACAGCCAGGGACTCCAAGGTGTCTGCAGGAATTCCTGTGCTGAGATAATTTCATTGTCAGAACAACACTGGGAGTGTGGGGAGCTTCCACACGGTGCTGTAGCAGCTTCCTGAGGTCCCCTGGAAAACAGGGAGTGGGATTTTTAGATCTTGACAAAATCCATTACCCATCAGCCTGGTCAGACCCCTGGGAGCCAAAGGGAACCAGCCCAGAGTCACCCAAAGGTGCTCCCAAACCCAAAGGCACCAGCTGGAGCTTGACTTTGCACCTCTGTGTGCAATTAAAACACCTCATTATTGACCAGAACACAGTCAGCCTTCCCAAGGTCTCTCACACGCAACCTGCAATCTTCATAATTTGTTTTGTTTCTGGCATTTTTAGTGGGGGGGGGAAAGGGCAAACAAATTCCATCACCCCTCCTGTGTCCCACGTGGGTGTTGGTGCTGCTCTTGCCAGATCACACACAAAAATACACACCCGAGGATTAGTCCTGGAGGAATCCAGAATTTCAGGATGCAGCTTGGTGCTCCCCTTGGCCAGCAGCTCCCTCCATCTCAGAGCCCTCACAGCTCCACCTGATGCTTCATTCCTTGGCTTTTCCCCAAGCTCTCCTGGGCCTCGTGTCACCCTGACCCCACAGAGAACCTGATCTCCTCCTCCAGCTTTGCTCAGGGATGTTTTAAAGACAGATGTAATGCTTTGAGCAGTGCAGGGCAGCTGCAAACCCTGACACAGGGGCATTGCATCCCCTGGAAGCTGCTCCACTCACCAGGGGTTGGCACTTAGGAGATTGGGGTTGTTGGTGTGTTCTGAGGGTCTGGGAGGGAAATTTGGGAGCCCCTGGCACCTCCAGTTCCCCTTTTACTGGTACAGGGGCTCCCTCAGTGGGGAAAGGTGCTCCTTGTGAGCTCTCCTGTCTGCTTTTGGGGCCTGTGGTGCTCGTGGAGGGAGACAGGAGAGGTGAGTGTGGATGGATCTACATTTCCCACTGAGTTTCCTTGGAAAGGGAGAGTTTAGGCTTTAGGGGTTGAACTGAGGCTGGTGATTTGGGGCAGGCTTTGATAAGCCCAGGCACCCCTCAGGAGTGAGAAAATGCCAGGCAGGAAGCCTGGCATGGCTTTGCACTCCTGGGAAGCTGCCCCAAGATTGGAAAGGTCTTTAAACTCAGGTGTTGCCTGTGTGGGGAGCAAAGAAGTCTGTGCACATCTCTCCTGTCTTCGTGGGAGCAAAGAAGTCTGTGCACATCTCTCCTGTCTTTGTGGGAGCAAAGATGTCTGTGCACATCTCTTCTGACTTTGTGGGAGCAAAGATGTCTCTGCACATCACTTCTGTCCTCTGCACATCTCTTCTGTCTGCGTGGGGAGCAAAGATGCAGTGACAGGATGGGGGGAATGGCCTTGAGGGCAGGCTTAGGTGGGATTTCGGGAAGGAATTCCTCCCTGTGAGGGTGGGATGGAATTCCCAGGGCAGCTGTGGCTCCCCTGGATCCCTGGCAGTGCCCAAGGCCAGGCTGGACAGGGTTTGGAGCAGCCTGGGACAGCTGGAGGTGTCCCTGCCGGGGCAGGGGTGGGATGGGCTGGGCTTTAGGTCCGTCCTAACTCAGCTTAGGCTGAGATTCCATGCTGGGAGTGCTCAGTCCTGGTGCAGCTGTGAACGTGCTGGAGTTGTGGCCACGAGATGGCATTCTCTGAGCTTCTCTTGCTGAGGAAAAGCAGAGCTTCCCATCTTTAATAATAACAATAATAATTAAAGGGGGGGGAAGCCACAAACCCTCCCTGTATTTTCTGAAGTCTGTGACAAAGCGAGATTTGTGAGGAGGCTGCTCCTGCTCCTGGCAAACAATGGTGCTGCTTTCCCAGAGCTGCGAGGGAGACTGAGGGTCAAGTCCCTTTAAAAAAAAAAAAAAAAAAGTGAAATACAGTATTGTGCATCTTGAAATCTGAAACCAAGAAACAGAAGTGCGAGGGAAACAAGGGGGAAAGTCTTGCAATTCCTGTGGACAACTGTTGCGAGTGGAGTTTTAAGGAATACAATATACATCTCTACCTTTTAAAGGTTATTGAATGGCTTTTGTGGAGAAACCTGGGAAATAAAGGAGCCTCGGAAGAAGAGATTTCTTTTTCTCCTCCTCTCTGGATATAATGGGCATTGCAAAGCAGAGCATCTTGAGATTTGGCTTCCAGTGTGCCTTCCTCGCAGCTTTTACCCTCACCTGTGATGGCCAAGGTGGGAAGAGAGAGAACGGTGGCCCTGCCTGCTACGGGGGCTTTGATTTGTATTTCATCCTGGACAAGTAAGTCAGCCCTGCTTTGTTCTTCCCCACGGAGCTCTTTCCCTGGGCACGAGCTGGTACCGAGGAGGTTTCCTTTGGGTTTGGGTTTTGTGGGAGCCACTGTGTCCCCAGGGGAGCTCTGCAGCTCCCGACTCTTGCTCTGTTATTGTTGTGGTAACTCTTTGGTAGGTCCGGTGCCTAAATCCCTTTGTGCTCTGTGATCACATCGTTACAGGCTTTCCCAGGGTGGGAGCTTTGTGTCTACTGAGCTGAGTGAGCTCCCGAGGTTCTTCAAACAGTGCCTGGGAGCAGGGCAGCACCCGGGACCCCTCTGCCTTCCCCAGAGCCGGGGGTGCAGAATTGGTCCTGCAGAGACCAATTCCAGGGCTGGGATGTGCAGGGGGTGCAGAATTGTTCCTGCAGGCACCAATTCCAGGGCTGGGATGTGCAGGGAATGCAGAATTGCTCCTGCAGGCACCAGTTCTAGAGCTGGGATGTGCAGAATTGGTCCTGCAGAGACCAATTCCAGGGCTGGGATGTGCAGGGGGTGCAGAATTGTTCCTGCCGGCACCAATTCCAGAGCTGGGATGTGCCGGATTGTTCCGGCAGGCACCAACTCCAGGGCTGAGAGGAGCAGGGAGCTCTGCTCGTGCCCCCGGGCTGGGTCCCTGCCCCAGCTGCCCCCACAGCAGCAGCTCCAGGTACAAACCAGCCCAGAGAGGGGCTACTCCCTTGGGAGGGGGCTGAACTCAGCTGCTGGGATGGAGAGCAGCTCGAGAGCCTCATTTAAAGAGCTTTATTTCCCCTAGCTGAGTCACACTTTCTTTGTTTCTTCAGTTAATCAAATGCATATTTTGAGTGTTTAGCTGTTTGTGCAGAAGATAACTTCCTGCCTCACTTTTTCATCACTAATTGTGGCACTGTCACCTCCTTGGCACTGCAGCAGCGCTGCTTTCTGCAGTTGTGGATGGAGCAATGTGGAATCATTTTGTGCTGAGCTTTGGAAAGCTTCATACCAAAGCAATATGACAATTAAATAAAAGAAAGAAAAAACTTTAAAAAATACTAGCTGAAATGGTTGTCCTGATTTTCTTGATCAAGAGCAGCTCTTTTGAACCAAAGGCTTGGAAACAGTGGAGGGGATTCCTGCCAGAGCCATGGCACTGCCATGAACAACCATCAATTTCAGAGACAGGAAAGTATTTGCAAGTTGCCAAAAGCACTCCCAGACAAAGTTTCTGACTGATCCTCTGGAGTGTTTTGCAGTAGCTCCCACATTCCATCAGTACAAATGACTTGGAATTACATAACCCTTTATTACAAAATACTGGGTAAAACCTAACACTGAGACGCTGGCTGCTTCAGTGTGCCAGTGGTCCTGATGCTCCAGGGGGAAGATTTATTTCATTTATTCAGTGGCAAGACCTACCTGGCTCATTCATTTTCAGTTATTAATTGGAATAACTCTATTGCTACAAATGGAAAAAGGCTGAACCCAAACAAGCCCAGAGCATGACTTGTGCTGCAGAGAGCTTTTGTCAGCTGCATTTCCCTGGGAGCTGAAGCAGGACCGAAGGATTGCTCACATCTCATGGATGTGCTGTGTTACACCTCGGAGCTAATGCAGCTTCAGCAGGTCCTTCATTCCAGTTCTGTGCTGTTCCCCCAGTAAAATCCACGAGTTCTGAGCCTCCCGCACAGGATGATGGATTTGGGTGCAAACACGAGCTTTAAAGCAGGCAGCCTGGCCCCAGTGCAGGTATCAAGGTATCCAACAAAAGCCTGCTTTGGCAGCTGCAGAATTCCTGTTCTGGCATTTTTCTGGTGCAGAAATGACCAGGAGCTGATGTAAGAATTTCCTTGGTCTCCAGTGGAATTCTGGAGGAGCACTGTGGCTTTTCAGCTGTTCCTGAGTACAATGCACCCCTGGACCTGCTTGTTTAACCACTGGTGAGAGATTTTCTGTGGTGGAGCTGGTTATCACATTTCCTTCAACACTTGGATGCAATCACAGCATGGTTTGAGCTGGGAGGTCCCTAAAGATCATCTGGTTCCAC